TTGGCTGTTTGAACCCAGAGGCCTGTGGTTTATTTGAAACATATTAGTTAAATAAACCATTGGTTTGGTACGAAAGTACAAATCAAGACCTGTTGGTCAGTTTTTTTCACCTTTTTATGAGTGAAAAGCCAGGGTGGCACAGTGGTTAGAATGCAGTATTGCAGGCTAATTCTGCCAACTGCCAGCAGTTCAATCCTCACTGGCTCAAGGTTGACTTAGTCTTCCATCCCTCTGAGTTTCAGTAAAATGAGGACCCAGATTGTATTGGGGCCAAGAGGCTGATTCTGTAAACCCACTTAGAGAGGGCTGTAAAGACCTGTGAAGCGGTATATAAGTACTATTGCTATTATTCTAGTCGTCATTTTTCAAGTGAAGTCCACGCATCTTAAAGTTGCCAAGCTTGAAATATACTGCTCTGGTTGCTTCTATGGTCTATAATTGTGCTGGTTTTAAGCTATGATAAAGTAAAAAATATATCATTGAAGTCAAGTAATAAAAGAATTCATCTTTATAATTTTCTGTATTTTTTTTTTCATAGACTAAAAAATACAGGTAATCCTTCGTTTACAAGCATTCGTTTATTCTACCTTGCAGGTAACTGGGCTGACCACTGTTGCTCCTGCCTCTTCTCTGCCCTGCGTGCTCTCTGATCGACTGGAGGGGAACGTTCTTCCTCATTCATGCTGCCAGGGCTGTCCTGATGCAGCTGTGCCTCAACTGTCCCCCGCTCAGCTGGCTGTTTATCTGGTCACTCCCCCCGGGACTCCTCCACGACGTGGCCATTGGTGCAGTCCTGTTGCAGGCTGAATTTGCCAGAGATCGGCGAGGAGTGCCACCACAGCCAATGGGGGATCTTTGGGGCACTATCCGTGGAGGTCACCCAGCACTTCCGGGGAGACCTCAGATGTTCACCGGATAGTGGCTACAGGCAAGGGTGGGATCCGACCGGCATAACAACTGGTTCGGAAAGCAGATGCATGCATGTCAAACGCGTGCTGCATGTGCGTGCATGCTACCAGCTCCGGAAAGCATTTACCTTCTCCAGCTGACGAGCGGCACTCAGCTGTGCCGTGCAAAGCAGCCAAGGAGGAAAATGCAGCCACTAAAGGACAGACTAGAGCCTGGGCTGACGGGTGGGCCAAACAGCAGACCAAAACCTCTTCCCAGGGAACCAGTTCGGTGTCAGCTGCTCTTCAGAGCTACCAACAGGATCCCACTCCTGGCTACAGGGTGGGGTCATGTCCAGCCAGCTGAAGGTCATGGATCCTTGCTGATAAATTGTGCTGAGAGGCACACACTCCTAGCACTGACTTTGCAACAAACTCATTCGACTCGCACTCATTGAGTACCGAGACTCTGGTCTGATTAAAAGCGGGGGAGGGCTGTTGCCTGACGGGTTCCTGAGCGTTCTTGCTTCAGTTCTACCCAGGTACGGCTTCAGATCTTTGAGACTGTGCTTCCTCCTGGCTTGGAGCCACCTCTGGACATCTCACATTACACCCTGCCCAATGTCCCTGGGATTAGTCCATCCTCCTCTGAGCTTAAGGTGTACAGGGAAGTGTATAATGAGGCCATCACATCCAGTTTCCATTGTTTACGTCTGATTTCTTTCAAAAAAACCCCACCCAATGGGGAAAAAGGATTTACTTAACAACTGTGGCGTTCGCTTAATGACCCTTAACTGTGGCATGTGATGCCCCTACTTACAAGCACCATAACTTACAGCTGTAATCCCAGGCTCAGTTTGTCAATGAAAACCAATCATCCAGGCCAAAAGTATCTTAAAAACGTGAAGAAATCAAGGCAACTGGACCGAAGTTTGTTAATCTGAGAGGTTTCATTACTCATCCAAGGAACTTTATTAGTCAAAATAAACTAATGTAATCAAAGCTCCACCAATTTTTCACTTGTGTTGGAAACTTCCCCTAGAATAGGAATAGCATAGCATAGCATAGCATAGCACAGCATAGCACAGCACAGCACAGCATAGCATAGCATAGAAGAATAGGATAGGATAGGATAGGATAGGATAGGATAGGATAGGATAGCAGAGTTGGAAGGAACTCTGGAGGTCTTCTAATCCAACCCCCTGCTTAAGCAGAAAACCTATACCATTTCAGACAAGTAACTGTCCAGTCTCTTCTCAAAAACCTCCATGATTTCTGAAGACAAGCTGCTCCACTGGTTGATTGTCCTCACTGTTAGGAAGTTGTTTTTCTTAATTCCAGATTGCTTCTCTCCTTGATTAGTTTCCATCCATTGTTTCTTTTCCTGCCTTCTGGTGCTTTGGAGAATAGTTTGACCCCCTTCTTCTTTGTAGCAGCCCCATAGATATTGGAACACTGCTTTCATCTCACCCCTAGTTCTTGTTTTCACCAGATTAAAAAAATTATCAGACAATCAGCTTAGCTTTCATTTTCTTTTTGCTCTTTGCTGATGACTCATAACTATCTTGAAACTGAAACCACATCTGGCTTTAAGGAGAAATCCCTGTTTTAAAGGAAAAGAAAGGAATCTGACTGCCAGACACATGAAGGGGAAGCCCAAGATATTATCTTAATTATGACAACCGGTGAATTCTGGTTATTATTTCTTGGAAGAACCCAGGAATATTTTGAAGAGAATTCAGTTCACTTGGTATCAGGGTTCCAAGTAATCTTCTATATATACTTGCTGTACCAAGTTTGGTTGAAATTGCAGTTATGCTGGAATATGCACACACACACACACTGTATGTATGTATGTATGTATGTATGATATTCAGCTTTGTTCGGGTATTTTCCCACATCATTATAGTTGTGCTTTTAAATATGTGTGTGTGTGTGTGTGTGTGTGTGTGTGTGTGTGTATCTTTGGTTATTCGAGTTTTCTCCCATGTAAAATTGGAAGTATCTAGGCGACGTTTCAATGAAGTCTCATTCATCATCTTCAGGCTTGTGTCTTCGGCTTTGTGCTTCTCGGAGTAATGTGACCTTGCGGCTGCTTCTTCCTTTTAACTGCTAGTGGGGGTGTGACTTGATTGGGTGGGGGCTTGGCTGTGTTCTGATTGGGTGGGGGTGTGTTCTGTTCAGGTGGGGGCTTGGTTGTTCTCTTGGTTGGTCTTGGTTGCTGGGGGATTTGAGCTGGTGAGCTGTGATCCTGTTGTTTGGCTTCACGTTCGTGGTCGCGCCACATCTTCATGGTGGGCGTCAGTTCGCTTCTTGTATGGCTCGGAGGGGTTTGAAGCAGGTAATGATGCAGTTGTGGTACAGCTTCTGGTCCATGGTCGTGTCTCATCTTCTATGTGGGTGTGAGTCTGCTTTCTATGTGGAAGTGTGGTGGTAGCATCTTGGGTGGCCCTCGTGGTTTTAATGTTGTGTTTTGGGAGGATCTTGCTGATTTTGTCTGTGGTGCCTTTTATATATGGGAGGAGGACTTTGCCATTCTCTTGTTCTCTGTCTTGGATTTTGGTTGGGGTTTCTTTTTGGATTAGGTGGGTAATCTTCTTTCTTTGGAATCCATTGGCTGTTAGTACGTTAGTGAGAGTGTGTAGTTCGGTTTTTAGGTGTTGTTCGTTGGCTAAGCATTTTGTTCTGGAGATGAGTGTCTCAGCTACGGAATTGATCTGTGCTGGGTGGTGGTGTGAGAGTGCGTGTAGTTTATACGTGTTTCCTTCTGGCAGATGGTGTGTCCTAGGGAGCCATTGGATTTTTTGTATACTTAGACATCTGGCAAGGGAAGTTGATTGTTAGCTTCTGTTTCCATGGTGAATTGTATTTTGGGGTGTAGGCTGTTGAGGTGTGTGAGGAAGTTGTTCAGTTTTTCTTTCTCGTGTGGCCAGATTATGAAGGTGTCATCTATGTATCTGAGTCAGAGTTTGGGTTTGTGATCATATTTTTCCAGCGCTTGTGTTTCAAAGTGTTACATGTAGAAGTTTGCGATGACAGGTAAGAGGGGTGATCTCATTGGTGCTCCTTCTATTTGTTTGTATTTTTGTCCATTGTAGGTGAAGTATGTATTGGATAGGCAGTGGTTGGTCAGATCTAGGATGTGCTTGGGGGGGGGGGTTGTATTTGTTTTGGATGGCTGTCAAGGCTTCTTTTATAGGCACTTGTGTGAAGAGGGATATGACATCGAAGCTCACTAGTAGGTCGCTGGGTTGTAAGTTTTGTTTCTTTATGATCTTGATGAACTGGAATGAGTTTCTTACGTGTGAGTTGATGGATTCTGCATAGGGCTGTAGTTGTTTGGTGAGAAATTTGGCTAGGTTTTGTGGAGGTGAGCCTATGGAGCTGGCTATTGGTCTAAGTGGGGTTCCTTCTTTGTGTATCTTGGGGAGACCATAAAGCTTAGGGCATCTGGATGATTTCTCCCTGGGTATGATTCTTTGCTGGATTTCTTCGCTGATGGGGGAGGCTTTTATTTTGGATCTGGTGGTTTTTTTCTAGGTAGGTGGTGGGGTCTGTGTTACTCTCTGGAAACAAATACTGTGTGGGTAAGACACCCCTAACACCTCTTGCTGTTAAGATATAGCCTGTTGTGCCTTCAAATGGCTTCTACTGCACAGCACTGTGGAGTTGCCATGGTAACGGCTTCACAGTACTCCACAAGGGGACTGTCTCTGTAAGGGGGAAAATCCAACATTACAAATTACGTTTGTTCTGGGTTGCCGAAATCAGGGCTTTTCCTATCTAATTACAGAATTAGGATAAATAAATACTTGGGCAACATCGGGTTATCGGCTAGTAATCCCATATCAAGCAGAACTTTGAGGCAGTTGAAGTCCTCAAGGAATAGCTTTATTGGAAATACCCTATTGGCACAGATCTGGTGAAAACCGACTCTAAAAGTTCCCTCGGTTTTCACCTAATTAAAAGTAAAAGTTTGTCACTTCCCCCCAGACCCTCAGTCACATGGTCCAATCAGCATGCAGTCCAGTTGCGAGCTGACCTCAGGCTCCTCCTTCTGCCAACACCTGCAGGAATGTCCTTGGTTCCCAAGGGCAATCTTGATTTTTTAAAAAACTCTCTTGCAGATGCCTCATCTGTCAGATGATGTAATTTTCCAACAAAATATCCCGCAAGTGAAATACAAATACACACATTCAAAATCGTGTCAATTTTGTGCCTGAGACTTGAGATTGGTTGAAAAATACAAGCATTGTACATTGAACAAGAACAGATACAAATCTGCATGCTAACATTTCTACAATGGCAATAGCTGTCTTTTATGTCAGAGTTATGAGTTGTGAAAGTCAGCCAGTTTGGTAAATTTATTATTTGAGTATCTGACAACCAAAGGATTTGGGTTTATTCAGCAATCAGGTTAAATGTATTTTGAGGACCTACTCGTGTGAATAAAGACCAGACAGAGAATAGCAGAATGACATTTATTGAAATATTCAGTCAGCCAGTTTGGTAGATTTATTATCTGAGTATGTGGGAATGCAGAATTTGGGTTTATTCAGTAATCAGGTTCATGGATTATGGGTTATCAATTATGAATCTTCAGAAGCTGATTACATATCTATAGGAAGAGAAGCATTTGTGAAGCAGCTTCTCCAGAACTTAGTCTGAACTTCCTTGATTGACGTTCCTTTTTTTCATAATTGCCTGTAAAGGAAGCATAGAAGGTAGGATTAGTTTTGTCAACCTACAAAAGTTTGCTTTGAAAGTTAATGGCCCTCTTCTGATTGTTCGGCTCCATGTACTCACTGACAGCTTGATGAAAGCTTAAAAATATAAAATGAATAACAGAGTAAAACAGAATAGCAGAGTTGGAAGGGAACTTGGAGGTCTTCTAGTCCAACCTCCTGCTCAAGGAGGAGACACTATACACGTGATGGCGAACCTATGGCACATGTGCCACAAGTGGCACACAGAGCTGTTTGTGCTGGCACGTGAGCTGCAGGCAAACGTACCTCACTGCGCATGCATGCGCCTCACAGCTGATTTTTTTTCCAGTTGGTTTGAGGACTTTTTCGGCCTCCCAGAGGCTTGGAAAAAGCCTCTGCAAGGCTTTTCAGGACGAATTATAGGCCCATTTCATCGGAAGTGACAAAACGGGCCTATAATTCATCCTGAAAAGCCTTGCGGGTTTTTTTTTTTCAAGCCTCTGGGAGGCTGAGAAAGGCCTCAAACCAGCCAAAAAATCAGCTGTGAGGCGCAGTGCAGGTAAGGAGGTGGCAAGAGGGAGGGGGATTGCGTGCGCATGCGCAGGGGGAATGGGGAGGTGGCGCACATTGCATTCTGGGTGCTGGCAAGTGAGTGTGTGCGTGCTGGTGAACATGTAATTTTTGTCACAGAAGCCCAAAAAGGTTAGCCACCACTGCACTATATCATTTCAGACAAATGATTGTCCAATTTCCTCTTTAAAACCTCCAGTATTGGAGTCCCTACAACTTAAGGAGGTAATCCGTTCCACTGATTAATTGTTCTCACTGTCAGGAAATTTGTACTTAATTCTAGGCTGCATCTTTCCTTGATTAGTTTCCATCCATTGCTTCTTGTCCTGCCCTCAGGGGCTTTGGAGAATAGGTTGACACCCCCACCCCCTTTTCTTTGTGGCAGCCCCTCAGATATTGGAAGACTGCTATCATGTCACCCCAGTCCTTCTTGTCATTAAACTATACATACCCAACTCCTGCAATTGTTCTTTCATATGTTTTAGCTTGATGACAGCTTAAGAATATAAAATGATGAAGAATATAAAATAAGGGAATCCTTCGACAGGGAACATTTCCTTTAAATCATAGAAGAAAGCAACAGCAAAAGTGATAACTTCTATAGGAAAGGAACTGATTCTAAAGAAAAGGTCTCAGGGGCGATTTTGAAGCTCAAGTCAGCCAGGAATTAATGCAGCTTGGTAGAAACACACCACCTGTAGTTAGAACTGATTAAATTATCCCCTGGATTGCCTAAACTTTCCCTCTCTTTACTCACTTCCTTGAAAACATGACAAACAAGCCACTGGTGCACAGCAGGAAACTTCTGGCAATGAGCTAAGGTTTGGCATTTCGTGGACCTGCTATGAATAATTTTGTACTAAAAATTAGAAATGTAATCAGTGCTAACCTTGTGAAAGAAATCACAGAGACTGATATACAGTAAATAACAAAGTCAGTTTAATAGATGGGTGGGTGGGTGGGTGGGTGGATGGATGGATGGATAGATAGATAGATAGATAGATAGATAGATAGATAGATAGATAGATAGATAGATAGATAGATAGATATGGCTATGGCTACATATCTGAGCCAACTTTTACTCAGGATGTTTGATTCAGACCTCCCAAGTTTGAGGCTCTCTACTTGCACAAAAAAAGTTGAAAAAAAGACTTTCAACGTTCCAGCTTGATTTATTGGTCCTCGGAAAAACACAAAGATAGCTAAAGCTCGTGATTGCTGCTTACCTCTTTAATTCTCCTTCCTTGGTCCCCCTTAACGTTCAGACATAGTTTTTGGCCATTTTTAAAGGTCACCCTGCATATATGCAAAGAGGAGAACTTAGAGACCAAGTTAGACAAAGGATCGTTTGATGTTATTAACATTCAACATCAATTGACTGTCAGTGCAATAATTGTGAATCCGACCACCTGCCCTCCCAACTCTCCAGATTGTTAGCTGCAAACTCAACATAGCCACACCAGTTGACCTCAAACAAAGAAGGCATCAGGCATAACTGAGGAAACCATATGCAAGACTTCCACAACCCTCTTGGGGGAAAACTTTGGAATTTTTAAAAACTCAACCTATACACGCAGCTACTAGAATAGATAAAGGAGCTAAGATCATCTTGCTTTGATCTCAATGTCAGGATATGATTAACAAGAATCTGAAAAATTCTAGGAGATCCATACAAGCCTCCAATTTAATAGCTTCAAAGGAGAAGATAGCAGAACCCTGGTCAACTACTTACAGCAGTTCCTGTAAAAAAAAAAACCCGGTACATTTTGTCATAAGGGGTGGACTTACGTCAAAGCAAAAAATTAAAAATAAAAAATTGGGCAAAGATACCCAGGTGGCTAGAAAAGATGATAGGGAAACATGTAGGTTTTAAACCTGAATTGTTTTTATTAGGTATAATATCAGAAAAAAAAATGATAAGAAAAGTATGTGCATAATATCACATGCCTTAACAGCAGCGAGGATTATATTCGCACAATACTGGAAAAGTGAAGATATACCGCAAGATGAAGAGATTGTCAGGAAGATACTGGATTGTGCAAAAATGGATAGATTGACATTGAAAATTAAACAGAAAGAAGATGCAGAATGCAATCTATTTTATCAGTGGTTGGAAAAAAGGGATGGAGATTAAGAATGGAATCAGCATTGTTAAGCAAATCAAACACCCAGACACCACAATGTTTATTAAGCACTAAGAAATGTATTTAATAGAAAATCAATTTAAAAATTTACTTACAGCAGTTCTTCTTGATCACAGCTACTGGTTGGCCTGTAGTACTCAATTTTAGCCACACGGCCCATGTTCACGGATAGCATTCCTTCTCTGCATAAACATTTGTTGGTGGTAGGCAATCCTGACAGGGATCATATAGAGAAGGAGTTTTTCACCAATAGTTCAAGGCAGTGTTTGTCAATCCAGCGACTTCAACTCCAAGAATTCTAGGAGTTGAAGTCAACTCATCTCAATGTTGCTATTGTTGAGAAACACCGGTGTAATGTATGGGAGGGCTTACTTGTAAGCTTTCCATGGGAGGAAATATTTCCTTTAAGAAAACACATGGACAATTTTGGCAAATGCTCTGTTTGACTTAATTGCAATTGCTTCCTCTCTTTTTTCTAAGATATGTAAGGTGACCCACATGCTTCCTCCCATTCTCACAATCATCCTGTGATTATACTAAGAGAAATAAGGGAGAATTGGAACTCAAAGCCTCTCAGTGGCTAGCCTGGTGTTTTAACCCCTATTTTTAGCCACTACACCAAACTGGCACTCCAACAAAGGGATGAGATGTTCAAAATCCAGCTTGATCACTGCACTAAGCTTCTCCAACCTGTTGGCCATAACCTCCTCCATGCTCCTCCGCCCCAGCCAGCTAGCATCGTAAATGAACATGCTTCAAATTGTCCATAATATGTGGATGACTTAGCTCTTCTCTCTACTGTTTCCTTTTATCTTTTTTTTTGGGGGGGGGGGTTCTCCCTGTCTCTTAAGGGGGTCCATCTAATGGCACCAAGAAGAAGGGCCTTGTCTGTAGTGGCTCCTTCCTTAGGGAACATAATCCTTATGGAAATAAGATTTGCCCCCACGTTGACACTGTTTCACAAGGATCCGAAGACCTGGGGCCCTCAGAATGATAGGGAATCCATCAAGTGATTAGTTTGATTGTTGTTGACAGAGGCTTTTTGATTTTACTTTTGTCAGCATGAGTGAGGTGGAAGGCCGTATAAAACGGAAAGAAGGAAGGAAGGAAGGTAGGAAGGAAGGAAGGAGGGAGGGAAGGAAGGAAGGAGATATGGACAAAATTGTGTTGTTTGATTAGGGGAAAATCAATAACTATGTGTTTGACTGAAAACACTGTGGGCTTTTTTCTGAAAATGGAAATTAATGAACTTGTGACTTGTGGGTTTGATAATTAGAAAAGATGGAATATGAAGCAGCCACAATATAACCTTAGACCAGTGGTTCCCAACCTTTTTATCGCCCCGCACCCCTAAAGAAATTTCACTTGAACCTCGCACCCCCTGAAATTTAGACTTTAGGAACTACTGAACGCGTTAAATATATGGTAGGATTGAATCTTTTCAGCTATGTATGTGACGGCCACTAAATAACGATGCTTAACTCTAAAATGAAAACAAAGTTAATCCATTGCATAATAAATAAATAAAAATAAAAATAAAAAAAATTACCTGGACTTTTCTCGCACCCCCTGGAATATCGTCTCGCAACCCCAGGGTTGGGAACCCCTGCCTTAGACAGTTATAACTTGTAAACAAGATCAAAGGTCGGTGCTTTATAACTTTACCTTCTTCTCTGCCTTTTTAATTTCCTATCTATTTCACTTTCCTTGTTCTTTAATTTTGCATTGTTTTCATTTTGTATAAAACTTTTCATCAAAAAATGTTTTTTTAAGTGATAGATGGATGGATAGATAAATAGATAATAAGCTTACTATACCACGAGGGAAGTGGTTTCTTTTCTTTCTCTCTCTCTCTCTCTCTCTCTCTCTCTCTCTCTCTGTGTCTCTCTCTCTCTCTCTCTTTCTTTCTTTCTTCCTTCCATGTTTGTGAATTACAGTAAAATAAAATCAAACACTATTATGACTTATTCACCAATCTACATGAAAAAAATTTTTTCCTATCCCAACTAAATCCCGGACAACTTATACTTTCTCTATTGATATGTGTCAAAGCCAAAAACAATCATTCCACAGAACCAGTTACAAACAACTGGCACAAAGGAGGAAGGAGCGAGAAGTAGGCAAAACAAGGAGGGGGTCTTGAAAAACTGAATGTGAGCTTGAAAATGCCACCCTTCTAGAACCAAAAGAGAACCATACAGTTGTTGTTGTTTTTTTACCTTGCATGAGAACCACACAGCAAGCCAGAAGGACAAAGAAAACGCAGAAAGTTGGCTTGATCATCTCTGCACGGAGTCCACTTTCCTCCTTGCGATCCAGACACAGAAGAACTGACCTTTACTTGATGAACAGCTAATTTATTGCCTAACTTGATGCCCATTTATTTATCAGAGATCCCAACCTCTGATAAATCTCCTTCACTTTCCATTCTCTTACCTTAGCAAATAAACAGTTCTCTAGATCCTAACTAAAGTACTGTACATGGATGATCATGTACTCCAATATTTTTTCCCAAAAACAAACAGTGTTTTCCTTTTAATCCTACACTTTCCCTCCACTTCTTTCTTTTTCCTCCCTCCCTTCCTTCCTCCCTCCCTTCCTTCCTTCCTTCGCAGCCCTCTACCAGTGAAAATGGAGCCCAGGAGGGCTACATGCAACCTTGTGAATTCCATTTTTGCTGGCAGAAGCACCATGGGCCGGTCCTTCACTGTGTCCAGGGTAGCGCAATGGGCCAGATCTAAGCACCCCGTGGGCCTTGACACCTCTGCCTTAGCAAATAAACCATTCTCTAGATCCTAACTGAAGTACAAGGACAATTGTGTACTCCAATTTTTCCCCCAAAAAACAAACGAACGGTGCTTTCCTTTTAATTCTACACTTTCCCTCCGTTTCTTTCTTTTTCCATTTTTCCTAATTTCAATGCTAAGAAAATTGTACAGGCATTTCAATGGAATCCTTTGACAATTGGCTTGATAGACCAGTGTCTTTTATATTAATTTAAATGGCTGATGATCCAATGTTTGGAATTTCGATATTCTAAGGTAGGATGCGTTTTGGATTAGACCATGTGAACCCAATGGTTTGTGGTTTACTAAACATTTTAGTTAAATAAACCACGGTTTGGTACAAAGTAAGAATCAAGTCTCGTTGCTCCGTTTAATTCGCTTCTTTATTTAAATTCGCTGTTTTTCAAATTAAGTCTACACATCTTAAAGTTGCCAAGTTTGAAAAATACTGCTCCGATTGTTTTCATTGGCTCTAATTTTCCTGGTTTTAAGCCAAGATAAAATAAATAACATTTATATTAAGTAATCAAATCAAATCAAAGGATTAGTTCTTATATTGTTCTGTATTTTTTCATAAACTGACAAATAGCAGTAACTGTAAGAGGGGTCTTGGAGTTTTAGTGGACAACCAGCTAAATATGAGCCAGCAGTGTGCAGTAGCAGCCAAAAAAAGCTAATGCAATCCTAAATTGCATTAACAGAGGGATACAATCAAGATCAAGGGAGGTACTAATACCACTCTGTAAAGCCTTAGTAAGACCACACCTAGAGTACTGCATCCAGTTTTGTTCACCACACTATAAAAAAGATGTTGAGACTCTAGAAAAAGTGCAGAGAAGACCAACCAGGATGATTAGAGGACTGGAGACTAAAACATATCATGAACAGTTACAGGAACTGGGCATGGCTAGTCTGGTGAAGAGAAGGACCAGGGGAGACATGATAGCAGTCTTCCAATATCTGAGGGGCTGCCACAGAGAGGAGGGGGCCAAGCTATTATCCAAAGCACCTGAAGGCCAGACAAGGAATCATGGATGGAAACTGAACAAAGAGAGATTTAACCTGGAAATAAGGAAAAAATTTCTGACAGTGAGAACAATCAACCAGTGGAACAGAAGTTGCCCTTGGAAGTTGTGGGAGCTTCATCACTTGAGACTTTCAAGAAGAGATTGGACTGCCATTTGTCAGAAATGGTGTAGGGTCTCCTGCTTGGGTGAGGAGTTGGACTAGATGACCTAGAAGGTCCTTTCCAACTCTGATTATCTATTATCTGTTAAATACTGGTCCTCAACTTACAACCATTCGTTTGAAGTTTGACTATTTGGAGTTACAACAGCACTGAAAAAAACATGGCAGCATCCCCATGATTATGTAATCAAAATTTTTGGTAATTGTTTGGTAATTGGCATGTATGTAGGATGGTTTCATTGTGCCTGCGACCTTCTGATAAATAAGGTCAGTGGGAAAGCCAGATTCACTTAAAACACCCGTTTAACAACAGCAGTGATTCACTTAACAACTATAGTGAGAAATGTTGTAGAATGGGGCAAAAATCACTTAACAACTATCTTAATAACTATCGTCCCATCCTTACTAGAAGATAAGGCGGTGGGGCTCACCAGTACCGGGGGCTCTACGGTCATCCTTGCAGGGCAGTGAGACGGTGAGATTCATCCCATCCTTGCAGGGAGGTGAGCACCGGAGCTGTGAGTCGGTCTTCAGACATTTGCAACCAGGGTGTGAAGCAGACTGCTTCCCCCCTGCTGCCCCTCCTTCCCTCTTCACCAAATTGCTAATCCGGGCTCCCTCTTTAAAAGGACAGTAACGTTGGACTTTCAATAAGTAGGGAAGTATTGTTATAACCGAACTCCTGTGAAGATTGGAAGCCATTTTATTTCCTGTGATAGAAGGATTTGGGTTTATTCAGCAATCAGGTTAAATGTATTTTGAGGACCTACTTGTGTGAATAAAGACCAGACAGAGAATAGCAGAATGACATTTATTGAAATATTGAAGAAATATTATCTTTTAACTATAGTAGACTATATAATTAGGTGCCCACAAGAGGACTCAATGGGAGGTATGGTGTGTTATGGCATCATGGGCTTCTGTGACTTATGTACTTGCACACAAAATTGCAATGCTGCTAAAAAAAAGATCATAAAATCATAAATCACAATATCATAAAAAAGGATAAAGCTTGGACGGCAACATTACAACACACAGTTCAGGATCAGGAATGGAAGCCTATAATGGAATTAGCAAGCATGACATATAGGTTGTCCTTGACTTAAAATCATTCCTTTAGTGACCATTCAAAGTTACAATGGCCCTGAAAAAAAAGTGACTTATGATCATTTTTTACATTTACAACCATGGTCGCATGATCAAAATTCAGATCCTTGGCAATTAGATCATATTGATGATTGCAATGTCCCAGGGTTATGTGATTTGCTTTTTGAGACCATCTGATAAGCAAAGTCAATGAGAAAATCTGTGTTACTAACTTAACAGCTGCAGTGAGTTCAGTGGCAAGAAAGGTTGTAAAATGGAGCAAAATTCACTGCAACAGAAATGTTGGGCTCAGTGGTGGTTGTAAATCAAGGACTCTCTATCTGCATTGGTGTTACAAGCATAAAATGTTCAGGAATGAAGGATGCCCGTATCACATTTTCCTGGCTTGGTTGATTAGGAAGAATGAAGCTCTTCCATAGAGATGTCAAAATCAAGAGAAAATCCCAGACATTTTGCCTCATTGCATCACTCTTGTACTTGTTTTAATAAATTCCTGCAGGAAGTACTTGGGGCTAACTTCTAAACCCCATCAGCTTGACAAGAATAACGCTGTTGGACCAGTGGCTCCCAACTTGAGTGTCATAAATTAGGAGTCCTTCAGAAGCTGATTAAATGTCTCCAGTAAGTATTTGTGAAGCAGCTTCTCCAAAACTCAGCTTGAACTTCTTTTGATGACATTTCTTCCTTCCATAATTGCCTGTAAAGAAAGCATAGAAAATAGGACACTTGATTAGTTTTCTCAGTCTACAAAAGGTTGCATTGAAGGTTAATGGCTCTCTTCTGATGGTTCCAAGTTTTGACTGATAGAATAACAGAATAGCAGAGTTGGAAGGCACCTTGGTGGTCTTCTAAAGCAACCCCCTGCTTAATCAGAGATCCTATACCATTTCAGACAAATGGTTGTCCAGTCTCTTCATAATAACCTCCAGTGTTGAAGCACCCACAACTTCTAGAGGCAAACAGTTCTCACTGTCAGAAAATTTCTCCTTAGTTCTAGGTTGCTTCTCTCCTTGATTAGTTTCCACCCTGTTACTTCTTGTCCTGCCTTCAGGTGCTTTGGAGAATAGTTTGACTCCCTCTTCTTTGTGGCAGCCCCTGAGATACTGGAACACTGCAATCATGTCACCCCTAGTCCTTTTTTTCATTAAACTAGACATACCCAATTCCTACACACTGTTTTTCCTATGTCTTAGCTTGATGATACCTTACGGATATAAAATGATGAAGACTATAAAATAAGGGAATCCTTCAAACAGGGAAAGTCCCCTTTAAATCCCAGAGAAAGCAACAGCAAAAGTGATAACTTCTATAGGAAAGGAATCCCATTCCTAAGAAAAGGTCTCAAGGGATGTTTTGAAGATCAAGTCAATCAGGAATTAATCCAACTATGTGGAAAGTTAGAACTGATTAAATGATCCACTAGGCCGTCTAAGCTTCCCCTCTCTTTGTTGGCTTCCTTGCAAAAGTGACAAACAAGCCACAGGTACACAGCTTGAAACATCTGGCAATGATTTTCAAAGATGCTTTTTCAAAAGGTAACTGGTCTATTTTTTTTTCTTCCCTTGAGGAACAAGAAGGTGTTTTGCTTCTCATCTAAGAAGCTTCATCAGTTCTGGCTGGATGGTGGACGATACGTTCTGACAGGATTACGGTGGCGGGACGGAAGGAATATATTTCTTTGCAGTCATCTGGTTTTCATCATCTGATGCAGCTTCCTGGTTGAGAAGCAAAATTTCTTCCTCAAGGGAAAAAACAGTCCATTTGTGTTTTAAAAAAGCATCTTTGGGACAGCTATGATTTGGGTGACTGAGAACCTCCATAGACGTCTGGCAAGGAGATAAAATTCGTAAGGTTTGCAAGACCTGCTATGAGCAATTTTGTACTAAGTATGACAAATCAGTCAAGGGTGAACGCTAACCTTGTAAAAGAAATCACAGAGACCGACCTATGTGAAATAACAACGAAAGTTTTTTGTATAAATCTGAGCCAACTTTTACTCAGGATGCTTAATTCCCAAGTGTAAGGCTCTCTATTTGCGCAGGAATAAATAATTGAAAAAAAGATTTCTTTCCTCATTCCAGCTTGATTTATTGGTCCTTGGAAAAACACAGCAAAAGCTTCACCAAAATGATCACTGCTTACCTGTTTAATTCTCCTGCCTTGGTCCCCGTTCAGGTTCACGCAGCGTTTTCGGCTGTTTCTAAGGATCACCCTGCATATATGCAAATTAGAGACCAAATTAGACCAAGGATTGTTTGATGTTATTAACATTCATCATACACTGACTATCAATGCAATTGTTTTTAAGCCTCTTCACCTGCCTTTCCTACCTCTTCAGATTGTCGGCTGCAAACTCAACATACCCACAACTGTTGGCCTCAGACAAGGAAGACATAACTGGGGAAAACTTTGTTGTGGTTAGCTGGCAGCAGGTGTGGACAACTGAGGAGACTGAGGACTCAGATGAGGGGCCAGGACCATTAGGGAATTCAGAGATTGTCGGGGCTGGCAGCAGTGAGGAGGTTCCTGAGCAGCCTGTGCCAAGCGAGTGTTCGTGCAAGATTGCTCGTAGGAAAGAGCAGCTACAACAGCATGGGCGACTCGGGAGTAAAGCTGCAAGGTAATGGCCTGTCCTTCAAGAAGATAAAAGCCAGCTGTGAAAGGAACGTATTTTGCAGAAAGCAAAGACGTTTTGAAACTCCAGCTTCGTGGAATTCCAGTATCCTGAGTTTGTATTTGAAGATTCTTGTATTGCAAATTATTTCTTGTCTGTTATCTTTTGGCAAGTATCGCACAGTTTGGCAAGGCTTGTGCTTATCACAGCTAATTATTTTGTAAAAGCATTATAAGGTTTCTGTTCCCTTTGGATTGTGTTTGATTTGTTGGAAAAGGGCATGAGTCAGAACACTGGTATATAAACTGTCATAACCAATGGATTATATCAGCACTCTCGAGACTCTTTGTGGACCATCAGAGGGGAAGAGGGGATGGTCCCATGAGAGCAACAGGCAAGCATGCACACATGCAGCTCCATATGCAAGCAATGGGCATGCATGTCACTGCTCATACAAATGGAGCTGCACGTGTGAGATTGTCTGCCACTTGCGCGGTCTGATTCTGAATGGGCCATGGCTTGGTAGTAGGCTCTGGCCTGGGACCTGGGGACTCCTGTACTAGATGGAGTTAAAGATACTTACAACCAAGAACACAATTAAATTATAACACTTTCTAGGACTATATTGTGAAATGGATCTCGGGGCGGGGGAATCCTTTTCACAGATGGTATCTTTAGATGGCTCTTAACAGACTTCAGAGTAAGTTGTAACTCAGAACTCTGTGATACTTTGAATAGCATTCTGTCAGTCCTTCACTATGCCTTTTTTTAAGGTCCTCCCGGTGATGGGATTCAACAATTTTACTATTAATTCTGTGGGCGTGCTTGGTGGTCATGGCATGGCATGGCTTGGTGGGTGTGGCTTGGTGTGGCAGGCGAAGGATACTGTAAAATCTCCATTCCCTCCCCACT